TCTCCTGTTGCGGAGCACAGGCTCCGGACGCGCAAGCTCAGCGGCCATGGCTCACGGGCCCAGGCTCCGGACGCGCAAGCTCAGCGGCCATGGCTCACGGGCCCAGCCGCTCGGCGGCATGTGGGATCCTCCCGGACCGGGGCACGAACCCGTGTCCCCTGCATCGGCAGGCGGACTCTCAACCACTGCACCACCAGGGAAGCCCTCAGATGCAATTTTTAATCTTTAAAAAAAAAAAATGAAAAAAGCTGATTTAATTGTAACGTTTTATTTACCCCACTGTACCAAAATATTATAATCTCACCAATATACAAAATTGAGATATTTTACATTCTTTCTTTGTACATCTTCAAAATCTGATGTGTATTTTATACTGATACCTCATCTCTACTTGGACTAGCTACATTTTGAGGGCTAAATACCCACATGAACCTAATGATGAGGAAAGGTACTGGCCTGCACATTTCCACTGTCTGGCACATGTGGTTGTAGACAAACATTGTGAGTAACTGCCACTCTCCAAATTCTATATTCTATCATTACAGAGTTGGATCTACTACTATGGGAACCCATACATTAACAAACATTAAACAATGTAAGACCAGTACTATGTCTGATACTAGATAAATGGCAATGAAAATGGCTGCCATGGATCACAACTAACAGTGAGTAGACAATCTTGTTTTTCTCTGTAGCACCTACCACAATTAGTAATTTCCTGTATTTTCTTACTTATATGGTGTATGTGCATCTGTTTTTCCTATGACATTCCATGAGGGAAGGAATTATTTCTACCTTGTTTGCCATTATACCCCTGGACCTCAGTAGAACGTGTTTTACACACAGATCATCAAATACCTGTTAAATGAACACGACCTTGCATTGATTTTCAGGCTGAACCAGCTTGTCATTTCATTCTTCACTGTTTTCCAACAGTTAAGACATATTCCACATTTTCTCAGTGAAAGCAGTGAATAGCTGTTTTCTCTTCATACTAATTTCTAGTAGCTTAACTCAAATATTAAAAGTACGGAAGTTCCCCACTAGTCAGAATCACACTTTTCCTGTCTTCAGCAGACTCTCCTTCCTCTCCAACACACACACAACAGAAGCAGAATGGCTGAGGCACAAATGAACAAGTGTCAGAAAACAGCCTCTCCATCAACCTCTTAGACTGAGAGAAAAAGGAAAACAACATACATGCACCTAGAAGAAAAGAATAGTGAATATTGTTTCCTACCACACAGTCAGTAGTGGCAAGGGTCTTAAGAGCTCTGGAAATTTCAGAAACTCCTTTGGCAAACCATTCTAAGTTAAACAGTAGAAATACTGTAGTAGCCATGATAAAAGAAATCCTAAAACTGGGAATTTAAACAAAGCAAATAGCATGTCATGTAACATCATGACTAAATTTGAAACCTGTAACAACAACAAAAAACCCCCAAAACCCAAGCTCAAAACTCATTCTGTATGATATGAAATAACACTGTATTTTAAAAGTCCTTTTGCAGACTGTAGAAATCATTTTATTTAGAATGTATACACTGGAAGAATGAAGGAGTTGGGATTGAGGGCAGCTCTTACCTTTCTATTCTGTATATAGTAAAATGGCACTTTAATAATACTGGCATTTCCCAAATTTATCTGTTTTGTAATTTTAGCACCAAAAACTCAACTCCTCATCAAATGTTCCCTGTTTTGCAAAGTACTGGAATATAAAACATTTCATACTTCAAACTTTAGTCATCTTTTGTGTAAATCAGTTTTTAAAAAACCAAATCATATTTAAAATGCACTAAAGAAAATTACTTTTCCCTTTTCTTTTTAGGTGCATGTTCCAAAAGTGGTGCAAATTCAGCCTCCTCACTGTGCTTTCTTTTCTTTTTTTTCTTTTTATGGTCACTTTGGTAACCACTGGAGTCACTGCCTAGGAAAACAGGGTCCTGGTGCTTTTTCTTCTTCTTCGGCTCCTCCTCCCAGAGGCCATTCACATTGTTATTAATCTGAAGATCTGTCTCTTCCTTCATGGTAACATCTGCAAAATCTGCTAACTCTGTGGTACCACTTTCCACTTCATATGGCTCTGGGTCTTTCTTCTTTTTCTTTTTCTTCTTTTGAGGTTTTTCAGTAGCTTCCTCAGTGCCAGTTTCTGTTACTTCTTTAGAAACTGCAGAGCACTTGGTTTGTAAACTATAAATTAGTTAAAAAAATTTACAGTACATTAAGCAAAAATGAAAGAACAAAATAAGATCAAGAATATTCCCCACATGCTAAGATTTTTCTAAATAATGACAGTAGTACAAGATACCATACCTAGGACACAAATTTCAAATATTCTATCCTGTTATCTCCCAGCACATTGACATGTCTTGGAAATGTTAAATAAAAATGACATAAACTTTTGTCAAAAACATTTAGCTTGGTTCAGAAAACCAAGCTGAACACTAAACAATCACCATACCCAGCCTTACCAGACAAACCAGTGACATTTCACAGGAAAAACAAAACAAAACTTCTCATATCTACCTCAATCTTTGTTTCAAGTAATAGTTCATCGTTCTTCTTAACCTATGCTGAAGCAGTATGACTTCAAAGTTGTGAATATTCTATAAAAACAAGGATCAGTGAAGTAGCCCTCTCTCTATAGACCTGCTGTCCCATAGAGTAGCACTAGCCACATATAACTATTTAAATTTAAGAAATAACTTAAAAAATTCACTTCCTCAGTCACACTAGTCATATTTCAGTTGCTCAAGAGTGAGGCTTGAGCAACAAGCTACATTGCACAAATATAGCACATTTCTATCATCACAGAAAGTTCTTTTGGACAGCTGCTCTAGAACTTTAACCCATACTCGTTACTTATCAAGGCCTTATCAAGGCAGAATCTAGAAAAAGTTGCTAACACAGGATGCGAAGAGTCCCCCCTGCCCACCATTAAACTTGGCTCCCATGAACCCAGGCTCAGGATCAAAGTAATTCTTACAAGAATTCCAAACAAGAAAAGTACAGAAATTAAATAATCTACCTGGTATAATGACAATAATAAAATAAATATTTTTGTTTCAACTGTGTAAAAACAAAAGGGTAATAGTTATGCAATATGATTATAGTAGTCTCAAGTTCAGGGATCAACTTTTAAAAAGATTACCAACAAACTAGACAATAAAAAATTGAATTAATAAAATGCAGACCAGTTAGATGCAGAGCTTCAGAATATTCAATGCACTGTCAGAGCACTTATGATTCATATTTACATTGACTTTACGGTTTGAAAGTACAAATATTCCAGTAAAAAAATTAACTTTTTAAAAGCAGGATTTATGTTCCCTAAATTCAGAATTAACAGAAACGATTAAGTATCAAAATGATAATAATGTGATTAGGAACTGACCTAGTGATATTTAGTTTTCCCCGAATGCAGAATACTCCAGCAGCATCTGAGTCTAAACGAAATACTTCAAATTCTAGTTCATCACCCATGTTTATCTCCAGAGTCTGCCACTGCTCGGCTGGCATCTGCTCAGGTTTAGGAATGGAGGCATTGAAGCACCCGTGTACCAAACAGCCAATGTGGCTGGAAGACACTTTATTTACCGTACCCTGGGAAGAAGGAAAAAAATATTACATCAAGAAGAGAGCCAAAGAGTTAAAAGGTGAAACGAACTTTACAGTCTTCAAAGTGATCTTCAAATAGAAAATATCAAAATAATGGTGTAATTCAACATCGAAAAAGTTGATCCTCATTTAAAACTTACCACATATTACACTAAAATACCACTTTAGGAACACTCTAGAGTTTTTAGAAAGCTCACCTTGAGCATGGCTATTTTAACTAAACCATGACATTACTAGAAGCTTTAAAACTAAATAACAATAAAATAACAATACTATATGATTTTAAGGTTAAAATCAAAATTTCCAAGAAACTCAGTGTTCTATTCCCCTAGGAATCAACATATATAAAGTATATGAATGAAAACCTGAAGCATTTTTTTAAAAATCACATATTTTGAATTATAAAACTGTAAGAAATATTAACACATATACAGTGTTGTTTAATGGCAGTACCTCCTTCCACATGTGACAGAATAAAACTTACTTGTCTCCTTATAAGGAGTCTGGAGTCCAGAATGGTACCTTCTGGATGGTCTGAAGAATCTGTGCTACATCTATACATTAGAATATTATTCAGCAATAAAAAGAAGCTACCAAGCCAAGAAAAAGACATGGAGGAACCTTAAACACATATTTGTACATGAAAGAAGCCAATCTGAAAAGGTTACATACTCTGTGATTCCACTATATTGACATTCTGGAAAAGGAAAAACTATGGAGACAGTTTAAAAAAGAAAAAAAGTAGTTGCCATGGTTTCTGAGGGAGGGAGCAGTGAATAGGTAGAGCACAGAGGATTTTTAGAGTGACCAGTTATTCCACAGGATACTGTTATGTTGGATACGTGTCATTATACCTTTGTCAAAACTCAAAGAATGTACAATACAAAGAGTGAACTCTACTGTAAACTATAGACTTTAAAATGTATCAATATTGGCTCAACAATTGTAACAAATGTACCACATCTGTATGTATGTCAATGATAACTGAAACAGTATGTTTATGTGAGGTTTTTTTTTGGGGGGGAGGGGTGTGGAAGGAAGTGATGTATATGAGAATGCTATACTTTACATTCAATTTTTCTAAAACTGTTAAAAAATACTCAATGAGCAAAGAAAAGTCTTTTCAATGTACGGGTTGAGAACACTGAATATGGGCAAGAGAATGGAGCTCAAGGACCTATGAAGTACTGTGCACAAAAAACCAAGACTGATCACAGACCTATACAGAAAAGCTAAAACTACAAAAATTCTAGAATCTTATAGAAGAATATCCTTTCAACTGAGGGGTAGCCAAGTTTCTTAGATAGGATCTAGAAAGTATAATATGATAAATTAGACTGCATCAAAATTAAAAGCTTCTGCTTGTCGAATGGTACCATTAAAAGTTAATAAATAAGACAGATTGGGAAAGAATACTCACGATACAGTTACCTGAAAAGGATGTGTACCAAAACTATGAAAAGAATATCAAACCCCAGTTAAAAAGGGGTAATAAAGTACTTGAACAGGCCCTTCTTACCGAAACATATGAAAAAGAGCTCATGAAGGAAATACAAATTAAAACCGTACGGAAAAACTACCATATGCCCACCAGTAAAATCAAAAGATAACATTAATTGTTGGCAAGAATGCAGAGTAACTGGAAGTACTGAAGGGGATATTAGTTCTCCATAAAGTTAAACACACATTTACCCTGACCTAGCAATACTGCTTCAAGTTTCTACGTAGGAGAAATGAAAATACATGTTTACAATAGCTCTGTTCGTAAGAGGTCCAGACTGGAAACAACCCAAATGTCCATCAATGAGGATGGATAATCAAATTGATAATCAAAGTACATATATACTCATATAACTGAATTACCACGAACGATTAGAAGACAAATTCCACCAATATACCCGAGAGCATGGATATTACTCAAAAACATGACCAAAAAAGGCCAGACTGTGAGTGTATAATGAAAAATTCCACTAATAAGGAATTACAGAACAAGTGAAACTAATTTATGATAATGAAATCAGAATAGTGTTTGTATCTAGGATAAAGGGGATTGACCAGGACAGGGCATGAGAGTCACTTCTAAGGAGAGAAAATGGTATATGCACTTGTCAGAATTCACTGAGCTGCACAGGATGATCTACTGCATTTTACTGTATGTAAATTAAACCTGATACATTATATTGTATGTAAACTATATCTCATTAAATGGAAAAAAAATGGTCAAATGTATTTGAGGACTGGATCTTATTGTAGGGGACAGAGTAAATTAAATTCATTTCACTTTCTGTACAATTAGAATGTTATTTCCATGCACATATTTACATTTATGATAATTTACAAAAAGCAGATGACAGTTTAATTTGGCAATTTTAAAGTACAAATCAACCACCAACTTTAATAGTATGGAGGTTATAGGATCCCAGTTTGGAGGGTGAGGGTACTATTTCTAGCAGTTCAAATGACATTGAAAAACATTTTTAAAATAGAAAGGCCTTGTAATTTTGTTATAGTGAAATCTGACCTACATTTTAATTAACAGTATCAAGGGCTAGTTAACAGTTCTCATGGACTAAACAATTCCTATAGACATTTATTTTAGTTAAAGGAAAAAATACATAAATATACAAGTACATATGAACACAGAGAACTGCTGGTGGGAAAGGAGCAAGTGATGTGGATAAATGTACACATTTTAGTAGATTTCACATCAACTTCTGCATTTTCACCTTCTCTTAAAAAACAAAAAACTGAAAGACCTTCCCCACAGGGCCTTCATGGCCCTGTGATTGACCCCTATCATTCATTTCCATTACCTGCCTGGTCCCAAAGCTATTTGGATTTGCAACTCCAGTTCTATATATTGCTATACCATCTGAATCCTATAAAAACAATATATACTTGTATATATTTGAGAAGTTATAAAATAATAATAAAAAAATTTAACCCTTTAAAATCATTCTGATGGTATACAGAGAATAAATTGGATGGGGCATATACTCTGTACATGCATGTCAGTTTTAGTATCATGGAGTTTAAAAACTTGCCTAGACTGCCACTGAACAGAAAAAAGAATGAAAATAAATGACATTGTTTAAGACACCTCTAGGACAATATCAAGTGCAGTAAGATTCACATGATAGGGGACACAGAAGGTTAAGAGAGAAAGGGCCTGAGAAAATATTTGAAGAGATAATAGCTGAAAACTTCCCTAACCTGGGAAAGGAAAGAGGCACTCAAGTCCAGGAAATGCAGAGTCCCATACAGGATGAACTCAAAGAACATGCCAAGACACACTGAAAAGCAACAGATAACCTACAAGGTAACTCCCATAAGGCTATCTGCTAGTATTTCAGCAGAAACTCCACAAGCCAGAAGAGAGTAGCAAGATTATTTAAAGTGATGAAAGGGAAAAACCTACAACCAAGAATAAATACCCAGCAAGGGTCTCAAAAGATGTGATGGAGAAATTAAAACCTTCACAGATAAGCAACAGCTAAAAGAATTGAGCACCACAACACGAGATTTACACAACAAATGTTAAAGGAACATCTCTAGGCAAAAAAGAAAATGCCACAACTAGAAACAAGGAAATTACAAAATGCAAAAACTCACCAGTCAAAGCAAACATAGTAAAGGTAGGAAATCACCCACATGCAAAGCTAGTAGGAAGGGGAAAACATTAAAGTGGTAAAAATCACCTACATCCCCAATAAGCAACTAAGGGAAACACAAAACAATTAGATGTAAAATATGGTATCAAAAATAGTAATCATGAGGGGAGAAGAGTACAAATGTAGGGCATTTAAAATGCATTTGAAATTAAGAGATTAACACCTTAAAAGCAATCATATATACATATACATATGTGTGTTTTATATATATGTATGTTATATACATATATGTTTACATACATACATACATACATATATATATATATATATATATAGAGAGAGAGAGAGAGGGAGAGATACTGCTCTACAAAAACCTCATGGTAACCACAAACCAAAAATCTATATAGTAGATATACACACACACAAGACAAAAGGAATCCAAACATAACACTAAAGATAATCACCCACTCACAAGAGAATAAAATTTAAAAAGGGGAAAAAAAGACCTACAACAACAAGTCTAAAACAATTTTAAAAAACGGCTATAACAAAATACATATTGGCAATTACCTTAAATGTAAATGGACTAAATGCTCCAACCAAAGTTCACAGACTGGCTGGAGGGGATCAAGATGGCAGAGGAGTATGACATGGAGCTCACCTTCTCCCACAAAAATATTAAAAATACATCTACTAGTGGAACGATTCACATAGAACATCACAAGAAAACCTCCCCATAGCCAGGTAGGATAAAAGGAAAATGAAAAAGAAGGAATCGCAATGGGTCCTGCACCCCAAAGAAGGAGCTGTGAAGGAGGAAAGGTTCCCACACCCTGGGAAGTCTCTTCATCAAAAGGGAGATCAGAATGTATGGAGGGGTAGCTTCATAGCCCAAGAGGAGAGAGCAGCAACTGGTGTGCAGAAGGCAAAATGGAGAATAACATGCACAGAAGACCGGCACTGCCACACTGCATTCCCCAGCCTGAGACACTCCTCTGTTGGTGTGGGAGGGGGCTGGGTGCTGAAGCTCAGGCTTCAGAGGTCAGACCCAGGGAAAGGACTAGGCCCACCACGTGTTTCTTTCCCCTGTGAGTGCTCCCAGACAACAGGACACCGCTACAGGAGCTCCAGTGGTGTCACTGCCACCACAGCAGGCTCCTGAGGCTGGCATGGACTGCCGCTAAAAGACCCGCAAGCAGGCGCCAGGCCCCGCCCTGTCCCAGTCCAGGAGTGCATGGAGAGCAGCACTCATACGAGACCCTTCAAGTGGGCGTGAAGCTCCACCCCTGCTGTCCCGGGAGTGCACAGATAGCACCAGCCCATACGAGACTCAAGAACAGGCATCAAGCACAGCCCCCACTGTCCCAGGAGGGT